TAGAGCGGGGGCGGGGGCGGGGGCAGTGAAGGTGGCGCTAGGCGCAGCGCCCTTTCCGGACGCGCGCGTTACGACAGCGCCGTTGCGTAAGCGCTCACCGACGACGCGACGCGACGCGACGCGACGCGACGCCTCCGCGCGCCCGATGCGCCGCGACGCCCGGCCCGCACCTGCCCTGCTCTCCCGGCCCGGAGTCTAGCTTTGCCCTCACACAGCGGACAATAATTTACATTGCATTCGATTGCTTGCCACGGATAGTTTACAATTAATAAATTGATGGGTAACACATCCGTATTTTTTCACATTCCGTAGATACATTCATTCCATTCGATAGTGAGTATTAAACGAGCGATCTTGAAATCGTATACAACCTTTTCTCTTCTAATTATGAAACTTTCTTATATGTGTTTTTGACCTCTGTTCAAGGCAAATGTAATGTTAAATTGTAAATGATTTTTTAAATGAATTAATGTTCCTTATTATTGTTCATGTTTGAAAGACGTTACGAGATTGGTTTTGATGCAAACTGCGTATTTCTTCTTCAGAAATCACACATACACACAAGAAATATAGGCGTCATTTTATAGAGAAGATACCTGTAGAAATTCATTTCAAGTATTTCCCCCCTAATTTTTACAAAATTTTCTCCTCTTATACATTACATAGCCTCCAACCACCTTCCGAGTCCCATTTTACTTCCCAATAAATTCAGCTTTCTTGCTCTCGCTTTGTAATTGTGCCAACGCCCCTTGTTTTTAATCACACTTCGGTATTCTATGACATGAACGCATGCGGTGCTTCGTTCCACGACCGAGAACTGGTAATGAAATTCTCTGTAAATGACCAAGATGAAAAGATGAAAGCGCAGCGTGCTGCGATGTAATATTAATCACTAGGATGGAGAAATAGTTCATTTCCCTAACTATAGCTGCTTAACGCACAAGCAGGAAATAACAACTTGAATTCATTACTAGCAGGAAAACTGTTCAAGTTTTAGGAATTCTAAATACAAAACAACGCATTCAATTTTAATGTCACACGACTGCCTTCTTATGCATCACCTGAGGTTGTACGTTATTCCATCTCCTGAAAAGAAAATTCACGAACTAGCCAGTTAAAAATTTCTTATAAAAAAGTCACCGTTTGGTCTTCAAGACCAAAACCCAAGTGAAATGATCTTTAGGACATTAGCTCATAAAAAGCACTTCACTTTCCATCTAAACGACTGGATATTCCACTAACGAGCTCAAACACACGCCTCCCGAGCGCGCGCATAATCACTTGTTCCTGCATCCTGCATCCCCTACCCACGCCCGACGCTGGCGGTGCGACTTGCAAATGCTCAGGACTGGAGTGTGTCACTGGGCGACTGGCGACTGGTGGCACGGGCGATCCTATCGTGACGCACCGCTCACGCCAATTAGTCAGTTGCCGCCCGGCGGCACGCGTCCACTGCATAAAGAGCTTCTCTCGCCCGGCGCAGAAGGGAGGCCCGGCCGCGAAACCGGTTCCGCGCGTGTGCGCCCGCCCGGGCGCCCCGCAATGGCTCATCGACTCTCTTTACCTACACGTACTTCTGGAAACCCGTCTGCCTGCACCTCCGGCCCTCTGTCTAGCTGTCTTTCTGCCTGCCAGCCTACCTGCTAATCTCCCTCTTAGCCTACCCCCCCCGTGCGTCTATCTGTCCCCCCGTGCGTCTGTCTGTCGGTCCTTCCCTCCGTGCGTCTGTCTGTCGGTCCTTCCCTCCGTGCGTATGTCTGTCGGTCCTTCCCTCCGTGCGTCTGTCTGTCCCTCTGCATATCTCTTAGTCTTCCCGTCT